TGGGGTTTAGGGTTTCGGGTTCTTGGTTCCTTTGTGCGGTGAAGGCTTTTTTTGTGGCACTTTTGCCTGGTGATTTCTGTGTGCGGAAGTCAGTTTGCTTACCTTCTGAGAAGACTGGAGGCGGTAGGACTTCACCTCGGACCCCAGAAACCCGAAAGTTGTCCCGAAACCCAAACCCCGGAAAACCCTAAACCCTAAACCTCAAACCTCCAAACCTCGAACCTCTAAACCCTAAACCCCTAAACTTTAAACCCTAAACCCTAAAACCCTAGGAAGCCATAAAGTTGGTCAACACCCGAGGGTCCTTCTCCCCAGCTGCTTGAGGTTTAGGGCTTCTCCTTAAACCCAACGCCTTCGAAACACCCCTGCAACCCCACAGAGGCCATAGGGTTGATGATATAAACCCTAAACCCTAGACCCTAAACCCTAAACCCTAAACCCTAATCCTGCGTTAGAGGTTTCGGGCTTTAGGGTTTAGGGAACCTGTAACCAAAGCCTTCGAAAAAACCCGGAAGCCCCAGAGAGGCCAGAGGACAAGCCTGCAGACTGCCTTCAGCCCCAGGCCCTGGATCCTGATCCCTAAACGGTTTAGGGTTTAGGGTTTAGGGTTTTGGTTTAGGCTTTAGGGTTTNNTAGGGTTTGGGGTTTAGGGCTTGCAAACCCATGCAGAGTACAAGGGCCTCATAGGACCCCCTGATGGATTGCCTCTCTACACATAGAGCAGCATGCAAAGCCTTGTGTAGACTCCCCATGCCTTGAACCCTGAACCCGAACCCGAAACCCCTCTCTAAACCACTCAACCCTAAACCCCTAAACCCCCAAACCTCAAACCTCTCAACCCTACAGCCCTGAACCCCTAAACTCTAGGCCCTAAACCCCTAAAGATTGGGCACAGCCCTTCTAGGCCTTCTCGTCGCTTCTCGTGACCATCGGCACAACAGCCGCCGGGCAGAATCGGGGGTTCAGGGTTTAGGGCGTAGAGGTTTAGGGGTTTAGGGGTTTAGGGGTTTAGGAGTTTAGGGGTTTAGGGGTTTAGGGGTTTAGGGGTTTAGGTTTAGCGGTTTAGGGGTTTAGGGTTTAGGGGTTTAGGGCTTACGGGTTTAGGGAGGGGTTTGGGGTGTTGAGGAGTCGGAGGGAAGTTAGGTTTGTTATTTTTGGTGTTTTGGGCTTGAGGGTTTTGATTTGGGCTGAGGTTTCGACTGTGATTGGAAAGTAAACTGGCGTAGTTACTGACCCCTAAGCCTGAAACCCTAAACCTTAAACCCTAAACCAGTCTCGGGTTCGGATTCTAGGCTGACATTGAGCTTTTTCCGTCCTAAACCCTAAACCCTAAACCCTAAACCCTAAACCCTAAACCCTAAACCAACCAACCCAGAGCTCTCAAGCCCCTACATTCCTCACAAACCTGGGTTTAGGGTTTAAAGTTTAGACCCCCAGCGGCTTATAGTAAGCTATACCCCAAAGCCCCTATTCTGACTATTAAGGGCCCTATGTTACACTACCTTGAGCATGAAGAACGAGGGTTTAGGATTTAGGGCTGAGGTGACTCCTTCACAATCCTGAAAGCCTTCTAGCCGGAAACGCCGAAATCCTCAGCCCCCCACAGGCCCCTAAACCCTGAACCCTAAACCGAGCCACTCAGATCTATTCGCTCTTCAAGCTGCACAGTTTTCGGGATGGCGCCCCGCGGCTGCAAGCTCGAGGGCGTAAATGCCTCGGAGTGTACACCTCCGGATCAACACTTTTACTTAGGCCAACAAGTCCATATCTGCTATCAGATGCTATCAAACCCCCAAATAATCAAGCCTTCTAGCAGACCTTTATCGAACTCTACACAATGACCGCGCACAGCTTACCTTCTTTCTTGAGCCCTCCCAGGATGTTGGGGAGACGCTGAAGGACATCTTGTGGCCGCTCGCCTCAGGTTTGGACTTTGCAACCTTTGCATCCGAAGCCTTCAACCCCCACTAAACCCTAAGCCCTAAACCCTAAACCCTAAACCCTGACCGGCCTTATGATTACAACGCTGGAGCCTTAAAGCCTTAAGGCCAGCTTAAGCGTCCGAAATACCCGTTTCACCTTCTATGATCTTGGACCTCATCATGCAAGCCCTATGTAAACCTAAGCCCCCAAAGCCGTAAACCCCAACCCACAGCATGTCTCCCAGGCTGCACCAATTGTTATTTTCAATACTTTTTCGTGCTCCTTCATCACCCCTTCATTATCGACTGATCCTTGATGAATGGCGCCTTTCCCAAAACGGCAATAAACATTGCAACCTGAGGCGTATCCTAGACAAGAGGTAGTTTTTCTGTATCACAACGGTCAGATGATTACACGAATGTGTTGGCACTGTGAAGCTACGGGCGCAGAATCGCAGGTGCCAGGCTTCGTTACGCGCTGTTGATGCTAAATTCTCGCCATGCTAAGTGCCCTCACGGAAACCCTTAGTAAAACCCTTCTGTAACCCTAAACCCTAAACCCTAAACCCTAAACCCTAAACCCTAACCCCTAATCCCAACAAGCCCTGAGGTTTCTGATGTGCCGCCTAGCCATGTGGCTCCTCATCCTCGTCTTCTGGTTTTTTGCCGCCAGGCGCCAGCGAGGTTTAGGGTTTAGGGTTTAGGGTTTAGGGTTTAGGGTTTAGCGAGTTCCAGCGACACTGAAACCGGTACTGCTAGCAGAGATAGTTGGGGGTTGAGGGTTGGAGGTTGAGGGTTCAAGATTTAGGGTTGAGCGTTAAGTGTTGAAGCTTTGGGGTACAAGGTTTCGGGTTCAATGTTGAGTTGTTCGGTGAAACTGCTGACAGTCACTGGTATGCTTGCAAAAAGTGGCCGTTGCCTAGATCAGGTGTCCCCAAAGCATATAAGGGTACTTGTGGCCAGGATCTTATTGAGTGCCTTCATCTGTGAGACTCCAAATGTATGAATATCGTAGACAGGTATGGATTACGGTTGAAGTCCTCTCTAAGGGTTTTAAATCAGAGATCGATCGCAGATGGTTTTGTTCTTGGTTCTTTTGTTGCGCCGGGCTCGTGGGCCGTATGCCGCATGCTGGGATAGTGTGGTGCACTAAAGATCTTTCACGCCGACCCTAGACCTAAACTCTAAACCCGAAACCCTCAACCCTAAACACTCATGTTTCAGTCACGGCACTCTACGCTTTCTGCCGTTTTTAATATCCTGCACTCGAATGCCGCGAAGCGCAACTGAACCATGCACCCTATACTTTCTCGACATGCCATGACGACTCACCGCAAGTTCTGAACTCCACACCCGGAAGCCGACAATGTCTCCTAAACCCTGAACCCTAAATACTATCCCCGGAAGATCTAGATGTCTCCTAAACACAGAACCCTCAACTAAACCCTAAGCTCGAAACCCTGAACCCGAAATCAAAATCCCTGCGGTCTCCAGAAGAGATAGACCTGCCAGCGGCCTCTAAACCCTAAGCCCCAAACCCTATAAGGCCCCTATGATAGACCTGCCAGGGGCCTCTTCAAGCACATTGATGTGTGGAAGGCGCAGGCGAGGTCGGTTCCTTTTTGTGCTGTGGGGCTACAGAGGTGGCTGCTGGTGCTACACATGTTGTTGCTGCAGGGGCCTATAGACTTATAATAGGGTTTTGGGCTCCTTTATAGTATAAGTATACTATGGAACCCTAAGGAATAATATTGGTAACTAGTTAGGCTTCTGTATTATGTAAGATTGTCTTCATGGTGTAGAGGGTTTTAAAGTTGCTTTACGTCCTGGAGCTTTCGATCTAGTCTTCGCCGCCTGCACAGAAGAGAATCGCATGAAAGCGTAGAAAGTCTGGAACGATTTGAGCAAAATGTGCCGCTGCACCGTTCGTGAAGCTTCCTCTGCCCCCAGGCGCTCCTGTCATTGCCTGCGGCTCAGAAGTTCTGTCGGGCATGTGCGATTTCGGGGTGGTGGGTAGCGAAACCCCTGGTTTTGGGCTTCGCGCTGAGGCAAGAGACCCGAATAGAGTTGAGGGTGCAGAGTGTTTCAACCATGTCAGTTACCCGAAACCCGTCAAGGGTTTCGGGTGTCCCGGAAGTAGTCCTGATCTGGCTCTCTCTCGAATGGACCCTCGAGTCCTACAGAAAACCCAAAACCCTAAACCCTAAGCCCTAAACGGGTGCAGCCCGGCTTTGCTCAGGCTGAAGCACATGCTTGGAATTCTCATCTACTGCTCCTACGGCATTCTGCTGAGACTTTGCCTCGTGAGGTGTACGAGGCTGTTTCCCCAACTAGGTTTCCCCAGTAGTACCCTTTTGCCCTTTTTGTTTTGGGGTATCCTTTGTCCTTATTAAAGCCGAATATTAGGAAACCGGGTACCCTTATTGTTAAGGGATTAGTGGGAAACCCTAGTTCTTGTAGCGCCTTAAGCCCTAGTCTCAAAACTCCTCAATGCTAAGCCTGGGGAGAGGTTTGAGGCTCCACAGGCAGGTCGGGTTTAGGGTTTAGGGTTTAGGGTTTAGGGTTTAGGGTTTAGGGTTTAGGGCCTTCTTGTAGCTCGTCTCTCGATACTTGCATATAGTGGGATCCTTACCATGAGGACCTAGAGCAGAGGAGCCGTAAATTCCCCGGCAACTCCCCTATGCCCACATGGGTACTTCTCTTCATTATGACCCTTTTGGGGTCCCTGCAGTCTCACGGGCAGCAGTTGTCAGTATGATTGGTGCCCCTAAACCCTAAACCCT